AACATGATCCGGAGAAAGCGCAGAGTTTAAGGCCCATGAGTTTGTGAAAAAGAAAACTAAGAGAGCAACGCAATTAATAATTATGGTAATTTCTGCAACCGCTTAAAAAATGAGAAGTATGATACTGGTCTGCAAAATTCTAATCCAATTTCACTACTTCTCCATATAGAGCATATAGAGCGAAATTAGACAAACCAATAATTCCATAAACCGGGTCGTAATTAACTATCACGAAAAAACCTTAAATCTACTAATTTCACCGAATAAATAAGGGAATAATACAGATCTTTGAGGGAGTCCTCATCAAGTTAAATTATCTGGTTTTGTTTAATTAAATCATTTAATCTTTTACGAAAGTGCCTCTTTTAGCAATTACATCTCCATTGCCACCAATTTACTTGTTAAAACATCTTCCCGAGCACAGTTAAAAGAATTTATTGAGAAAAATACGATTTGTTAGAGAAAGTTTTGTTATGGTGGCGCTTTTCCCTTAAATTACGTCTTAGATACTTTGCGAACAAATCGTTACAAGTCCAAATGATATTTTTAAACAAGATATTTTATCATATGACATCGGTTTCCTAAAAAAAAGTATTCGCTATACTAATTCATTCCCTTTCACCATTTAAAAACGTGATGAATGCTCGTCGTAGAATACCGCATACGTAGGGTGACTGGATTAGTGTACAAATCTCACAAAGGGCATAATAAATTGTACCACTTTAATAAATTCTTGTTCGATCATTTGTGCGTCTTTCTCGCTCGAAATTTCGTTATACGTAATACAACTTTTACCCATATACTCATTTTATGTTCTATCTAAGAAATGCAACTTTTACAGAAACACATTACGTATATGTTTACCATCGCAGCGCCCTGAAGTTGAAATATTGCATGACAGTAAACATACAACTATGATGACGCATATCTCCAATATTTTTGAAGAGGAGCACTGGACTTTTTCCACTGTTGTTTAAAAGCTGCTCAATAGCAAAAGTACGAAGCCGTACGGTTCACTGAGCCATTGTTACCCAAACTGGACGCTCTAACCTAGGAGATAACATCGCTCTCCTTCACTTGATTAGGTAATCCCGGTTATACACTACTCTACTGAGATACGTTTTTTTGGGCCACCCGGTACATATTTTCATCTCATACACACTTGCCTTTGCGAGACACACGGTATGTTACGACAATTCGATATAATTTGTAGTCTACGTTTATGCGCTATTTAATAGTATATTAGTTCTGCAAGTTTCCCGTTATCTTTCTCTCCTCTGCCCCCACCGTATCCGTTTCTCTCGTATTAGTTTTTCCTTTGTTCCCACCAAATCCCTTTTTTGTTCATCCTCGTCGCTAACCCTTCTTTCACCAATTCACTTTCTCTTTCTCTCCGTTCCTTGAATCTTGCTGCCCTACGTCCCGGCGCTATCGTTATGTTCTCCATTTTATTTCCTCCTTTTTTATTTGTTCTAATTCATCCCCATACCTCCCGCTCCATTCATCGACACCCCTCTTACCAATGCATTTCTCAATCTGAAAACATTTTGAGTCTCTCCTACTCCCCACATCTGTCTCATCGCCAGTTCTCCCTTTTTGTTTTAAATTGAATTCCCGGATTTGTGCCTTTGCCCCATTATTGCGTTGCATTTGGTATTCTAGGTGTTTAAATTCTCATATTTCCTCCACCGTTTCCTCCTTCCATTTCCATTCTGTCACCCTTTTCCTACCTCCCACATTCGCACATCTCATCCTTTTTGATGTTTCGACATTTTTAATTCCATTCCTTTTCTTTCTCAGTACCTCTCTATTCTTCTCATCATGTATTCCATTTCCTACCCCCTTGTCTGTGTCAAGCCAGGGACCTTCTTATCACGATTCCTCCACTTTGACCCTGTCTCAATATTTTATTCCTTATGCAGAAATTAAATAAGGTTGGACTAAGGGGGAAAAGCGTCTTTTCATATAACTCTTTAAGTCTGTTCTTTAAATTGTAGTCTATTTTTCCATCGTCCCATACTTTTACCCTTTCTACTTCCTTAAACGCTGCCCTTAGGTCATGAAAAACGCAATCACCTTTCCGCCCTTTTTTCCAAATCCTTTTCCAATATTCTATGCAATACTTACATTTTCCCTCCCTTTTCTAAAGCGCATTTGCGTTTTCTGCAACATCCTCTTCTCTTCCATTTCTCTTTCCAATCTTGCATTCAGTACCATCGCGCAAATTCTATATGCCGTCCTTATTATTCACATTCGTCTATAATTTTCCATACAGTGTTTGTCGCCTTTTTTTGTAAATCGGCACTATTACCCTTTCTTGCATTCTTCCTATAGCCCTCCTCCCTACCATATCTTGTTTATTAGTTTCCTCAGCTTTTTCTTAATACTATCTGTAGCTTTATTTCTTATTTAGGACCTCCCTGTCGTCTTCCTTTCCTTCAGTCTGATTAATTGTTACTCCATCTCTCCTCTTGATATCTCGTCTCCCACACCTTTTCTGCTACCATCCTTGTAGTACCTTTCTCTGTTAATCATCTTCCAAAAGCTCTTCTCTGTGTTTAATTCCCTGATATTCTTTCTGTCTCTTCATCTTTTTTCCTTACATATTCTTTTGTACCTTTTTCTCTCACCTCCTTCTCCTATATCTCTCTTTCTTACTCTCTCCATCATTGTTCTATATCTGTGCCTCTCTTCAGTACACTCTTTGTCCCACCACTCCTATCTCTTATCCCTCCCATCCTCTTCCTTTATCTTTTTCCATGTTATTGTCTTTTCAATACTCGCCTTCGTATTTTTTCACTCCTCCTCTGTCCTATTTCACATACGTGCTCCTCTGCAGGGGCGGACTGGGTAACTGCGGGCCAGGTGGAATTGCATAGGTTACGGGCCATTAAAGTATTAGTGTAGTAATGATGGTGGCGCGGGGGGGGGTTTAGCTCTGAGGTGCACCAAAACATTTTAGTACAAGTACTCCTTTCTCGAAAATAAATTACCATACAGTTTTTTTTAAAATTGCAGCTGATAATTAAAAGTAACAAAATATACAATCCACACGAGGTGCGTCGCCTATCATTGTATTTCAGCACTTTCAAAATACTACGACAAAAAATGATAAATTCAATGTAAAACACTTCAATTAAAACATAATTTTTTAACAACCTAACATCAACCCCAATTAGAGAAACGTGTTAATAATTTATTAATAGTGCAAGAAACTAAATACAGCACATACTTATAAATTTCCAACGGGCCATTATGACGTACAGGCCAGGTGGCAATCGCCACCCGCCTCCCCAGGCCAGTCCGCCCCTGTTTCTAGTCCATAACTTTTGATTGAGACGTCCGATCGAAAAAGTACGAATTGTTTTGGATTCTACGCACCAAAATTAATAAGAAAAAGTGTTTTCCCGAGAAATTTTGGTGCAGTCGATTTTTTGTAAAAAAGGAAGGTTGTACACTGCCTTTTTTTGAGCCCCGAAAAAAAAATCATCTCAGATCGACCCGGAAAAAAATTTTCTTATAGAATGTGGCCTGTAAAATCCATAATTTCAAACAGTTCCAAGATTGGGCTACTAGTTCAAAAGTTACAGCCCTTTGAATTTTTTTTCGAAATTGGTTTCTAGTCTAAAACTTTTGATTGAGAAGTCTAATCGAAAAAGTACGAATTGTTTTGGATTCTACGCACCGAAATTAATAAGAAAAAGTGTTTTCCCGAGAAATTTTGGTGTAGTCGATTTTTGGTAAAAAAGGAAGGTTATACACAGGGGCGGACTGGGTACTTACGGGCCATTAAGCCGTTAAAGTATTAGTGTAGTAATGAAGGTTTTTTAACAACCTAACATCAACCCCAATTAGAGAAACGTGTTAATAATTTATTAATAGTGCAAGAAACTAAATACAGCACATACTTATAAATTTCCAACGGGCCATTATGATCTACAGGCCAGGTGGCAATCGCCACCCGCCCCCCGTGCCAATCCGCCCCTGGCCGAGTCTGGACTCACCTGGCTGTATCGGGTCTGGTGGCCAGATTGACTTCGCTTCCAATGTAGGAGTAGCCTTACTCAGTGTCATTCAACAGCCACATTAGTCCATCTCAGAATTTGTTGCATCTTTGAAAGGAAATTTGAAAGAATGCGATTTCTACGTCAGCTACACCTGCTAAAAGAAATTTTCCATAGCAAACACTTCTCTCCGAGGTTTAAAAGACAATTAGATAAATGCGAGGAACGCTACGGCAGGACTTAAGGCTCTTGATGGCCTCAAGAGAGCAACAGGATTAGAATCGTCGCGCTACAAATCTGGACAGTTGAGCAATTATATTTCTTTTGTTATATTGGAGATAGGAAAGAAAAAATCGAGGAAAAAATACTACTCTACTCTCAAGTTCTGATAAAGCTATATATATTCAAAAAAACAAGTGATATAAAAACAAACGAGAATCGGAAAACAAAATTTTTTTTTAAACAGAACATACTTTTTTCTGTAATATTATTAAAAAGGTTTAAATTCTCTTTACAATGATATCAAATATGTTATAATTAGGTACCTTAGAAATTAAAGCTGCAGTAATGTTTTTAAAACCAATCGCAGCAACTGTGGAAATTTAAACAAAAACAAAAGAGAGTTTTTACTCGTCATGTCTGTCACAAAATTAGTTTAGTGAACAATATATCACAATGCAACAAAATAATCATTACACAAATGATGAAAAAATGTTAAGAGGTGTAACGTAATGATAATTCATAGGAAGTGCCAATGTATTTTCTTCGCTTCCTGTTGTAAATTTTTTGTTTTTGTTTAAATTTCCACAGCTACTGCGATTATGGTTCTAAATATATTACTGTAGCTTTAATTTCTAAGGTAATTATAACATATTTGATATCATTGTAAAAAGAATTTCAAACTCTTAAAGAATAGGTATTACAGAAAAAAGTAACCTTTCTATTAAAAAAAAATAACTTGTTTTCTGATGCTATGTTGTTTTTATATCACTGGTTTTTTTTGAATATGTAGCTAGGTAGGGTATTTTTTTTTATGTGTGCGGCGCGAGACCCAAGTGGGCGGAAATGTGTATGATCCGAACTATTGCGTCCTCTGCATCAACTATTTATCTGCTGGAAAACATTTTTTCGATCCATGATGGTTCTCTCTGTCATGGTATCCGATAATGTCACAATTTTTAAAAGCGAGCAATTGCTGAACTTTTGCAAAGAAAGGGGAATCTTTCAGAGCTAGCTTTCCAAAAAGAGTTCCATATTTCCATGAAATTCACACAAAAATACGGAATCCCCTTAATGGATGTAAACCTAAGCTTCTTCATTTTTCTTAAACTTTGAGAAAATACAGAGGATTAGTTTGAACCTTTAATTCAGAATGCTGAAAACTGAATTCAACGGTTAAATTACAAGCTCGAACTCTAAAGACCGAATACAAAAGAAAATCTTAGTACAAATAGGTATTTACACTACATTCTCATTGCTCAGAGAGTGAAGGCAAGGATCAAACCAGAGTTAAACAAATCTAACGTTGTTGTACGTGATGAATCCTCCAAATCGACCTACACAAATGCGCACCATTGGAAATTTCCAGACAAGTCCGTCGTAAGGCATTTCCCTGTACCGATGAACTCGTCGGACATTTCCTACATTCGGGGAGCCCAGGAAAAGGTCAGACTCGCTCGTTTAAAATAGTAAAGATTTTAATACGGTACTGCAGTGTTTTAGGAAGCCACCACCGGTTAAACCGACGAAAATTTCGGAAATGAAAGAATCCTTTTACCCTTCGTATGTCAAGTCTTGTTCCGAAGAGGTGCGCCCTCCCGAACCGTATGCGAAATGCGAAGTAAGTAGAGTTTATACTGCAATATACTAATACATGCGATTTTGCAGATACGAGGGTTGGGAAGGGACGAACAACCGGCGATCCGTCCTGAAGAGAAAGGATCTTGGAAATTAATGGATCCATATCTTACAACGTCTCGATCTACCTATCTACCTTTCACAGTTAATCAGCAAAATGGTGTCGCAAAGAAAGACATTGTGACCTATTATGATGCTTCCAACTTTCCTAAGGTATACTGACATTTACAGTAGCAATTATGCCAGTTTGCCTAGGTCCCAGATAACACAAAGACATCCTAAAGATATCTTAAAGATGTACATTCCAAGATGTAACACACATCTTTAAGATATCTTGTATTTCCATAAAGACATCTATAAGATATCTTAAAGATATCTTTTGTTACAAATATTGATATCTTACAGATATCTTTCAAAGACATCTCTAAAACGTCTTTTAAAGACATGTTTTTAGTATTCGTATTGTTGGGTACACCACAAAAAATTGATACTTTATATACAGACAAAATTTATTTTAAGTTTAAACATTTGGTTTACAAAAACACAATGTGCCATAAATGAGGCAGTAAACGTACAAAAAAACACTATATAATTCATCGAAAACAGTTAAAAAGATTTATTCAGTGCATGTTTTTTTCGATCAAACGCCCTCCGGACCCACAACTGTATACATTTTTCTATCTCTTGTTTAGTGACATCTTTTATGGCCACAGTAGCAGATTCTGAAAAATGTTAAATTAGTTAGATGTACATAAAGGTAAAAGTTTTTGCTGTTTTCAATATTTTTAGAGCTTTTAAAAAGTTATTTATCATGAAAACTTTTTCTAGCACACAAAACAATAGAAATAATAAGAGAGTAAATTATAATTAGATACATACATTATTTCTAAGAATAAATTATGTAATAATACCCACCTATTACCAAACTGGCAACTTTTAAAGTCTTGAAAACTTTCTTGCCCTTCCTGCCCAACCAACTATATGTAATGGCTAATTCGTTCGTTATTAATAAGGCAAGGGTTCTCGACACAAAACTGTATGTGTTAGAGCCACCCACTCTTGAAAGCTCCATAACCTAAAAAAGTATATATTTTCTAAACAATTTAGAGATAAAGACAAAAGGTACAGTAATTAAAAATATTCAACTGGTTTTCACTGATTTATCATCTTCACGAAACTTCAAGTATAGATTTAATCTTCTGATGATGATAATCAAGGTAGCGAAACAAGTGTAGAGATTAAAACAGTGTTTTGGTAAACTATAGTAATTTGGTTTTAAAAGGTATAGGTATAGAAAAAATTAAAAGTAAAAAATGGGCAATTTGGGGGGTTTATTTTTAGATTGGTTGTGACAGCTAAGAGATTAACAAATTGTATGAAAAGAAACTTGTGTATTTGGTGCAAAGTAAATAAGCTGTGCAAACTAAGATCATGCAGGAAATTCGTTGTATGTAGACACCCCATAAAAACTTACAGCATTTTTGAAGTTGTCCTCATCTTCTAAGGAAGTATTGAAGATTTTTATCTCCTCTTCCGAATTTAGGGGAAATTGACAACCCAGTTCAGTAAAAAAGCTTGTGGGTGCCTCATCTGGGGTTCGCTCTGCTTTGCTGAGGGATTGTTTTATGGATCTCACCTCTCCAAGGATGTCCGTCGCCATACTCCTTAAAATGTGGTATTGCTGCATTAACTGTTTGTTTGTCCTATCTAAGGCCCTATCTAAAAAAAACAAAACTGTACTTTCTACATTATTAGCAAAAAAATTATACCCTTCTCCAAACAGTCTTTGCAGCGACAATTCTTACAAGTATTATTATTTTCCGCTTCTAGGTAGTTATCATTAATGTCATCATGCATATTTTCAATATTTTCAAAAAAACTATTATCTGTCGCCTCGTGTACTCCATTTCCCAAGTCATTTCCTAAAAAAAAAATTAGATCATTATAAAGATCAAGTGCCATAGATCATATATTACAATTTAACATGTAAGTAAACTAGAAAAAATGAAAAAGAACTTACTTACCGGGTGTTATATGTACTTCCTTAAATGTTGAAGTCGAGGTTGAAGTCTTCTTTTTTGCTTTATATTTCGAAATAGAAGGAGGGGGTGGCAAAATAGTATCATCTATTGACTCCTCACTACTCGATAAAATTTTTTGGATTCTTTTCCTTTTGACTTCAACATCCTCTGGTTCTGTATTGATATCACTGGTGTTTTCTGCAATTCTTGCTTTGTTTCTCGCTTTTAAATAATCCCCTACAATAAGTTAAAATTACAAAAGATACTAAATACAAAAATTATAACTTACCATAAGTTGCATTCCTAAAAATTTTAATTTTATGAGTTGGCCAACATGTGTTCAGTGGTTCGGATTTTCTGATAGCATTATGTAATTTTTCCATTGAAAAAGAGGGCCAATGGCACTCATTGCCTTGAATCCATGTGGACGGAATTGCCTCCACCGTCAAATCGTCCAAAAATTGGACAACTGTCCAGGTTTTTGAATTCATTTTGAACTTTAAAAAAATGTTCACTTTGAAGATAGACAATAAATTTGTTATGTACCTTACATTTAAAGTAAAAATGACAAAATACTATCAAATGTCTTATCCAATCTAAACTTACATACACAAAAAACCAAACTATACCTAAGTACCTATATGTCTAAAGCTGATAAGTAAATATTGTATCAGTAAAAAAAAAAAAATTAGCCATGTAAAAATGGCATTATAACATTCTGACCTTCATATTTTAATTTCATACACTTGTAATCAATATCTGAAACTTTGAAGTGTTGCGAAGAACCTAAGTTACTGTCACAAACTTTAAATATGTTAATATCAGCTGATTCACAAGGTCTATCAAAAAAAGAATTCTTGCACAAATATTGTTTGCCTACCACCTCTAGGCACCTATTTATTTTAATAATACTAGTGATATTAATTATCTCACCATTTTTCAAGCAGCAACAATTATCAGGAAAATTAATTTTTAAAACAAAATTTTGAAATACTAAAGATTTAAAGTGTTCCATTTTATCAATGCCCAATAACAGCTGATCTTTAGCTAATGGAAATGTAGTAATATCTTCTTTATTATTTTGAACACTTGACATTTTTTCCAAATATCGTTTAACAATTTGTTGTAGCGGCTTATGACTTTTACGTACATACTTTAAGATACTTTGCATAAAATTTTCAAAGTCAAATGCACTAAAATTATCGACACGTCCATGAAGTCTCACATCTTCAGGCAAATGCAATAAATTATGAACATTATGAGATGTATTTTCAATCCCGTATATTGTCTGAAAAGTTTTTACAAAGTATTTTAAAAGGTCCAAAGCATACAGTATAAGGTGTTGAAAATGTTCACTTGCTAAAATTGTCATACCTACATGTAACGAAATGAAATTTAGGTACCGGTCTGTACTTAAAAATTTTTTTAAGACTAGTGGGCCTGTATAAAATAGCATTTGGCGAAATTCTGTAGCTTTCCACATTTTTATTTCATTGATAGACCTTGGTTTTCGATTGAATTCCTCTGGGATACATTCCCGTATGTCTATTAGTGACTGTGAAATGCCATTAATTGCAGCCGCAGACAACTTTGTTTGAGGTTTTCCAAAGCACCATAAATATAAAAGTTTCTTCATCACTCCAAGGCACACCAAGTGCATGTAGTCCAGAGGAAAACTGGTGATCATATTTAAATGAGGAATTTCCTCTAAAATTGATATACCATTTTGATGTTCATCATCCTGATCATGCAACCTAAATTGTTCATCAGTTCTTAACCGGAGGTTTTCAATATCAGGAAAATAAACTTTGGCTAGGTATTGGCCTTCAATTTGACATTTGGTACATGAAAAATACCCTGTATGACCCTTTATACATTTAATGAAAGATTTTGCAGGAGCATCACATACAATACATTTTATTCTTATTAAATATTTGTTGTTATCTATTGTTATACCATTATTAATAACTTCAATAGCATCCTGCACAAACCTTTTTAAAAAAAGATTGGCATCCTTTGGCTTTTCATAGCCATGATAAATGCCAACCATCCTTACACATTTGTGTCCAAAAATTGATATAAGGATAGGATACACTTGGCTGTGTGAACTTTTTGCTAAAGGTAGACCGTCAATATTAAGAAGTAAGCTTATTTGGTCTGAGTTTTTAAATCTGTGCGTTCCTACACATTTAAAAATATTATGAATGGCTGCCGATAAACCAAAATGATAGTATTCACCTGGGTGAACACATTCCGTCGAAACATTTCTTGTTGTATTAAGTAACGTTCGAGCATCCAAGGGTAAAGGTTCATTAATGTGATCATGCAAAAGTTTAAGTAGATCTGTAGTGGCTACGTTTGAAATATTGTATTTTAATGCCCAGTTTGCTAACTTAAATTTTATATGTTTCTCGGCTTCATTATTATCAGTATCGGAACTCTCAGATTCAAATTCAGAGAATGGTGGTTGCAAATTAAGTTCTACTGGAACATCTTCAATAAATTCGGAATCCTCATTCTCGCTCTCACATAAAACAGATTGTGATTGTAATAGGTTAAGAGTTAATGTGCTATTTATTTCCACCACATCGGCAGCTTTCATACTACTACTCTCGCTACTACTACAAGCCTCATTATTATAATGAAAACAGCTTAAAGGTGTAGAATGTGATTCTTCATTGTTAGGCTTGGCTCTTTTAGCCTGCATATAGTATTTTTGTAAATTACTTCGCGACATTGTAATGCTTAAAACTAAAAAACGCAGTGGCTAACCTAAAAATCGTATATCAACGAACCTAACCAATATTCTATCCTAAAACACTACACAAAAAGTCAAAATCACGCCGTCGGTTTCCGCAGCTGTAATTTAATTTATTTTCAAAACCAAGCTTGCTAAATTACCTTTAATTCGCACAATATAAACTGTAACGCACACACAATGGACTAATCACTAATGGATGTGGTTACTGGTTAGAAACACAGAAAAGGGAAAAACTGACAGCCGGCGTCGACAGTATCAGTCCGTTTACAAGAGTTGTTGTATCCTTTTTTAACTTAATATGTAATGATGTAGAGGACAAAGATACCCGAGATCATCGTAATGTAGAGCGTCCAACCAGTGGTCTAGGGGCTAGCATACTAGGCTTGCACCCAGGCGGTCCGGGTTCGATTCTTTCGTACGACGAAAAATTTTTTCACAAAAATACGTACTGAATTAAGGTTTAAGATTTTATTGTTAAATTTTTTTTGAAAAGCAAACATACAAAATTGCTTCAGTACTATGCATCATCGATCGCGTTGGCGGATCGCCTCCGCATGCATATGTTTTTTTAAATATTATTCTTTGTTATAAATTCAGTTTTAGAATATGTAAGAAAAGTTCAATATTCAACGTTTTTAGCGATTACAAGGGAATGATATTTATATGTATTTAATTTTAAGCTATTTTTTAAACATTATAGTACCATGAAAATTATTTGACCTAAAGGGCGTAAAAAAGATATCTTTAAGGTGTCACTATTTAACATCTTAAAGATATATGGAAAAAGATATCTTATAAGATATCTTATAAACGTCGTATGACGTTCAGATGTTAATAGGATGTAAAACAGATATCTCCAAGACGCCTTGTGTTATCTGGG